ATCACCCTGGCGAGCGACCTCCCTGGATGTACAAGCAGCCAGAGGCCACAGTGGTGTCCAAGAGGGACACAAGATACAATCGCCTGAGCAGCGAGCTCATCTTCGTGTGTGGCCCTGGTGGTGGGCTGGAGACGGTGATTGATGGCGACATCGAGGGTGCGATCTCTCGCCGGCGGGCTCTGAGGCCGAGGTTCGCATGAGCGCTGGTCGCCATGCCGGTGGGGTTGTGGTTGGCGGTGGGCCATCTTGACGCTGGTCGTTGGGATGGTCAGGGTGTCCTGCTTGGGTTTGAGTTTGGGTTCGAGTGTTGTCGATGGCCGGCTGTCCTGGCGCTGGTCGCTGGGTAGTCCAGACCGGTCGGTACTCATTAGGTAGATTGGTGAATGAAGTAGTACTTCGGGGTTGTGTCCGTCGTCCTACGGTTGATTATGTTTGTGAGACCCAGTCTGGCTTGTCCCGATTGCAGTTTTCGAATGCATCTTTCTTCCATCCCGCTACAATGTTCTCCTCAAGTCTGCGTGAAGGCCTCTACCAACCTCCTCTTCATATACAAATCGTGTATCCGGGCTCATGGGGTTGCGATTAGTGGGGACGGGCATTTGGATCGCTTCGCATACGTGCTCCAGCAGATCGGGAAGTAGTTCATTGACTTTGGCTAGCAGCAAAGGTATGAACTTAGAAGAGCCGCCTGGTAGCTTTGCTATCAACAGCATCAACTGGGTCAAGTAATCTGAGGGGCTGAGCTCGGTATGTGATGCAGACCGAGGCACGAAATGAAGAACGTCCGCTAAAGCGCAGGCTATGTCGAATACCTTTTCCGTCTAATGTTGTTAGCAATGAGACAAGTGTGCGGCTGAATGACGTACCATGCCCACGCCATGTATCTGCAGACTCTGAACGGGTAGCTTCATTGAGAGAATGGTCAAGTCTTTGCCAACCAGAATGGGGTATCTGAATGTCAAGCAATCGTAGACAGACTCTGTAGAGAGAAACCCGAAGCGGGGAAACAGCTCCCACAGTTTGATCTGTAGCCAGAATTGCGATATGCGAACATTTGCAATCTCTTCGTTCGAAAGTTCGAGATCAGTGGGCAGCGCGGTGCGAACATCGTTCTCGAGCTGGATTAACCACTCTTTACTGCAGTTTTGCGCAGCACCGTTCCACACTGCGAAAAAGACTTCATCGAGCGGTCGGAAGACTGATGCGAGGTGGAGCAAGCCAAGATCATCATGACCATCGAGTGGGTAGCTTGAGGAAGTGACAGATAGTGTGATGGGCCGATTCCTACGAACGCCATGCGCTCTAACAACTAGTAAGCAATACACTCATTACGATGCCCATGGGTACTGCGAATCGTCGCTGTCTCCGCTCATAGGTGGGTTTAGATAGACGAGAAAGGGACAAATGATATCATGAAGTCGGAAGTGCATATGATGGACCACGATGCATCGAAGTGGGGGAACAGACGTAGGAAAGACGGGAAGTATTCAGCGTACCTTTCTGACACTACCAGAATCCAAAACAGCCGTGTCCTTGTCTTCATGTCGAACCAATCCCTGTCCTCGTCTTTGAGCATCATAAACAAGGTTGTTGCTTCTCTCAAGTAGAACCATGCTTGACGATAGTCGCCTCGGCCAGCGTAAGCTCCGTATAGAAAGAAGGAGGTATAAACTGATCGATGATCAAGCTGCGTAATCCTATCTCGCTGCAGCGAGAGCAAGGTATGGTCTAAGTAGTAGATTTGTGAGTCCGTTTGTGAAGACTGTGTAGATCCGCAATTGGCATTAGTGGAGGCTTCCGCAAAGTTTGCCATGTATGCGCAAAAGGCATATATGAGCTGTCGAGATGTCGGCGAAGTCTGCATTCGCATGAACTCTTCTCGCAGTCTTTCGGCTGGTATGAGAGCTACTATCCTGTATATGCGCTCCTCGTAGACGTCGACCAACGTTTTGAAGACATCCCTTGTCAATTCCACAGCGGCGGTAACGACCGCGGTCGGTGCAGCATCCTGTGGGTCGAAGACGTCGGCATCGTTATGGGGTATCGCTCTCAATTCGTTGAGTACGTTAGCCCTGGGACCTGTGCGACCTCCTTGACCCCGTGGTGCATTGAAGGTGCAAGCTAGTTTTGCCGATAAACATCCTGCGCAAGGCTGCGCGCCATTGCACTTGGTTTTGCGGCGGCGACACGGGTCACATGCCTTTGCAACTTGTTTCCGGTAGACTGTTCTAGACACGGTGTTTTGCATCAAGCTCGAGTGTCTACGTGGGGTTCATGATGTTGATTAGAGATGTGAGGAGGCGTGGTGTGGAGTGGCCGCAGCCCGAGGTAGCCCGCGGGCTGGTCAGACGCGTCGCGTGATGCCGAGGCTGCTTACGTCAAGTCAACACACTAATCTCTAAGCAGATGCGCGTCACTGAAGAGGCAAGACATCGCCAACACGAACAACCATCTACGAACATAGCTCATCGACGTTTGAGACGCGTAGCACTATTACATTAGCACCGCAATTATGGCTATTCTCACTCCTTCCATTCCGAGCCCACAGCAGCCTTCTCATCCGCGACGCGCCCATGCCCGTACGGGTCGACCTGCGTGCTAGCAAACTTCCTTGCGCTGACCCTCTGCTCGAATAACATATCTAGCTCTCCATATGTCCGGCCCTTTGGTTCTGGGAGCCTGAAGTACACCCACACTACAACGCATCCGCAAGTACCTGCCCAGAAAAACGCCGTCTTCGCTCCCCAGGCCCAGTTGGCATCTCCAAGCTGGTAGTTTGTCAATACGTTGACCACAATATTCGAGATATTGTACAGCGCTCGCGCGAGTACGATCGTCTTGGCCTTCAATCTTGTGGATGACATCTCCGATACGATTGAGTATGTCACTGGACCGATCGTGAAGTCGTAAACGAAGACGAAGAGGATCAACACCGCGCCAATAGCCCAATTGGAAGCTTGGGTACCGGCAAAAGAGCATGATCCAACGATTATCAGGATGATGAAGAGTGTGCAGCCGCCGGAGAAATGGATCGTTCGTCGACCGAACTTCTGCATGAGGTACCACGAGCCAGCAGTACCGACGAGGCCAAGGGCGAGTGAGATCATCGACATGTTGAAAGATTGTACGGTGGGGAGACCCGCCTTCTGCATAAAGTATGCGCTACTTGATGTTAGCCCAAAGTTCCTACTGACTTCACGTCCAATACTGACAAGTAGCCCATGATGTTGGTCCCGCAGATTGTCTGAGCAATCCAGGTGAAGCATACGATCTCGGTTCGTCGGAGATCTGTTCCCTTGAACAGGTCCGTCCATCGGGTCCCTTCCGACATGTTCTTCTCCATTTCGTTGGTATGCTCAATCATGGCAATGGTCTCGTCGGCGTTGAAGTTCGGGTCCTTGTCTGGCGAGGTCAGACGAAGCAATGCAGCTTTGGCGCCTGCCTTGTCGCCTCTGCGAACATGCCACCAGGGACTTTCAGGTGCGAGAAAGACACCAACCATGATCGGTATAGGCCAGACCCATTGCACAGCAAACGGAATGCGATACGCCCATTCGTCTGAACGCTGGACGCAACCGCGATTTACACCTGCAGCTATGAATTGCCCCATCACCCAGCACCTGGAAGGTCATTAGCATTCGGTCTCGGGGAAAGTGAATGCAAATGCTTACATGTTGACGAACGTGGTCAGAATCGGCCTCAGACGTACAGGTGCAACTTCCGATGCATACTGCGTTGTGAGGGTCTGAAACATGCCCCACGGGATCCCGCAGAAGACTTCGCCGATGACCAGAGTCTGAACATTGGGCGCAAAGAACAGGATAAAGATGAAAGCAGTCATCGATATCAGGGCACCTATCATGGTCTTCCGATACCCATACCGCTCGCTAACGAAGCCGTTGATGACAAGACCGATGACCTCGCCAGCTCGTGCGCCATTGGATCTGACGGTATCAGCCACAACCGAACCTCGGGTAACGTTCCATTGATACTCACAGTGCGCTTTGCCAACTGGCTTGAACACTGTACTTGCCAGTAGCAGCGTTGAGAATTCCGTACTTGCGATTGAACTGAGGGCTGCCGTATAAACTCCCCAGCAATGCGAGATCGTAGCCTTCCATGATCAGGGCACTCGACAAAACGACTGACCAACCAACGGCTTTTGGGTAAAGTCTGATCGCCTGAACGAGGCTCATAGATTTCTCATCGTCAGCTGCATGTTGCGCCTCCTCATTGGGCGCTGCGAGCTGTGTCGCCGTAGGTTGCTCAAAGTCCTTGTCTGTCATTGTCGCAATGAGTCGCAGCTCGGGTGAAAGAGACTGGAATCGATGCCATATTATTGTGGAGGCGTGACAGGCTTATAACCATCTCCGAGCACAGATGATCATGGTCAGAACAGGGCTGCCTTTGATGCGGGTTAGCGAGGGCCCAGCACCTCGTACCTCCCCATGGTGCCCCAGCTTCGGTATGAAAATCACTCATACTACGCCCAAAATTAACCCAACAGCACCAGAGAACGCCAAATTTCTCGTAATTACGAGCTCTTTTGTTGCCGAATGATCAGAAGCGACGCGGATGGCCTATGGTGGTTCGGCGTACCAATAGATTTTCGCGGAGCCAAGGCGGAGGCGATGCGGAAGCAACACGGAAGGAACACGGACGCCACATTGCGGGGCTAACACGACTCGCACCAGGGTGCCAACCGTTTACAAGTAGTCACCAAAACGACGAATGAGAGTGACTATTAAAATGGACTGCATGACGATGATCATTGGGACGGAGTACAGACCAAAGTGTAGTTTACTCGAGCCCGTAACGACTTCTCTCCTTCACCTCCCACTCCGTACACCAAACGGTCATCATCTTGCTACTGCCTGGCTTCCACCAGTAACTTCCCATCAATCCATGGATCATACCCGCTTACGGATAGCCTGCATCCACCAAGTCTTACAGTCACTGATACCCCAAGCTCAGTACACATAATTTGTCCGTCAACTATCATGTCACCACACGTGGACCTCTCTTACCACAAACGCGTGTGGTGGAAGGAAGCAACATTTTATCAAATCTACCCGGCATCTTTCAAGGACAGTGATGGCGATGGTTGGGGAGATATCCCGGGTATCCTTGAGAAGACCAGCTACATCGCGTCCCTTGGTGTAGATGTGGTATGGCTTTCGCCCATGTTCGACTCACCGCAGATTGATATGGTGAGGAACACGATGTACGGGATATATAGAACGTCGCTGACCTCACACCTCACTATGACAGGGCTACGATGTTTCCGACTATGAAGGCGTTTATGCACCGTACGGCACTGTCAAGGATGTAGAGAAACTCATCAAAGCCTGCCACGATAACGATATGAAGATCATCCTCGACCTAGTTGTAAACCATACGAGTGATCAGCACCATTGGTTCCAGGAAAGCAGGAGTTCCAGAGATAATCCGAAAAGAGACTGGTACTTCTGGCAGCCAGCACGCTACAACGAACAAGGCAACCGCATGCCGCCCACCAACTATCGCTCATATTTCGCCGGTGGAACCTGGACTTGGGATGAGCACACAAAAGAGTACTACCTCCATCTCTATGACAAGTCCCAGCCAGACCTAAACTGGGAAAACGAAGACTGCCGGCAGGCGATATACGACTCAGCAATGCGCTTCTGGCTCGACAAAGGCATCGACGGCTTCCGCGTAGACACCGTAAACAAGTATTCCAAAGTCCTCCCTTTCGCAGACGCGCCCATCACCGACCCAACCAGCTCCATCCAACCCGCCGCACAAATGTGGTGCAACGGACCCCGGATCCACGAGTTCATCAAAGAAATGAATCATACCGTCCTCTCCCACTACCGCACCTACGACAACCAACCCCTCGTAACAGTCGGCGAACTCTCCTTATGTCCCGACCCCTCCTCTGTTCTCCCCTACATCAGCGCCGCACAAAAGGAACTAGACATGGTTTTCCAATTCGACATCACGCACCTCGGGCAAGGCCCACCAGGCTCTGACAACAAGTACGACTACGCTACTTGGACACTACCAGGAATGAAGCGCATAGTAGAGAAATGGCAATGTTTCATCGAGGGTACAGATGCATGGACAACCGTCTTCAACGAAAATCACGACAACGGCCGCAGTATCTCCCGCTTCGCCAACGACGCACCCGAATGGCGAGTCGCCAGCGGCAAACTACTCGCTTTGTGGCTAATCGGTCAATCGGGCAGTTTGTTCCTGTTCCAAGGCCAGGAAATCGGTATGATCAACGCGCCGTCATCCTGGGATATAAAAACAGAGTACAAAGACGTCGAGAGCCAGAATTACTGGGCCGAAGCTGTGCGTTTAGCGGAGAACGGGACGGATCCTACGCGTAAAGAAAGGATAAAGAGGGGTTTACAGCGCATGGCTAGGGATCATGCGCGGTTGCCTTTTCAATGGGATGACAGTACCAACAGTGGATTTTCGACGGGAAAGCCATGGATGAGGGTGCATGACGAGTATGGTAGTATCAATGCGGCGGTGCAGGAGAAGGATGAGGGGAGTGTGCTTTCGTTTTATAAGCAAGTACTCCGCTTGCGGAAAGAGCATAGAGATGTTTTCGTGTATGGCTCGTTTGAGCTGGTGGATCCGGAGGGCAAGGAGCTGTTTATCTATCGGAAGAGGTGTGAGGGGAAAATGGCGCTTGTTGTGTTGAACTTCACGACCGAGGAACGGGCGATCGTCTGTGATGTTGAGGGGTTGAAGCTGCTTGTGAGTTCGTATGGGAAGGCGATGGGACAAATGCTGCGGCCGCTGGAAGGAAGAATTTACATCGACTATTGAGAAAGTGGAGTCGAGTGCTCTTGCGAGAAAGTGTAGACTATTGTCGATGCGCTATCAAGGGTATACTACAATGCAAAACTCGCACCACACATTCCTCTTATTGTCCTACCCATCGTCCAACGATCGGAAGATACTTGTACAACTCATCATACTCTTTGCCTATCCAGCCCACCATCTTGCCGTCTCGTCCAACGACACCCAAACCACCCGCAAGCCATAGTGCTGTCAGAGCTGCGCTAATGCCGTTGATAGTGTACCATCTCCTCTTCCGGATCAGAGCTCTGTTCTCTTCCGTGTGCTTGACCTGGCTGGGTGCAAAGCCCAACCATTTTGCTGCGCCCCAGACGAAATGCCACACCCCGACTCCTACCAGTGCTGTGAAACCGGTGAAGGAAACAGCGGGGTGTAGTGCGAAGCCATGGGAGATGTATTGCAGGTTAATCAGCGAAGAGTCACCATGCGCATACAACGGAAGAATTCTCGTAGTCCAGATATGGAAGCTAGCAAAAGGCACCAAAGCATAACCCAAGGCACTCGTGCCACTCAATGCCGGCCATGGAATCGTGCGCTTATCAGTCCGTGTTTCAGCACCGTATCTTTTCAGCGCTTGTCGCCTTCTCCATAGTCGTAGTGCGATTCCAGATGTGACGTGTGCGACGAGGGGGAGGCCAACGAGGAGGGGTTCGGTGAGAGCAGATTGGTAGTATGGTCGTGTGAGCAGGAGGTAGCGGTTTGATTCGAGGACAGAGCGTGTGGCGAGCGGTATTATGGAGACGTTTGTTATGTGGAGGGCGGCGAAGGCTGTGAAGGTGTAGGAGGAGTACTTTTGTATGCGGAGGACTGTGGACTGGTGTCAGCATTCCAGCTACATGCAAGAGGGTTGTAGGAAGACGTACGCCACCAAGCGGGTCCATGATCACCTAACCTCAATCCCAAAGTGTTCATCCTCCTTATGCCTCTCATCTCCTCCGTCTCTTTCTCAGGCCGTTCCTCATCCGGAACCGGGAAATATTGATTTACTTTCAACTCTTCTGGTGTGTCAACGGGCGAAGGATCGACTTCGGTGAGGCCCATGACACCCATCTCTTCTTCTTCTACCGGTGGCAGACCCGGGCTCTTCTCCATATTGTGGTTCGTGTCGTGGTGTTGCGAGGCAAGGGAAATGCTACGTTGCTGAGACATGGAATGACGTTGATTCGGTGAAGATATAAGTGGGGCGCTGCGTGCTGAGCCGAGGCGCGTGCTGTTGAGCCGCAACACCAAATGTTCTATCACCACACGCGACTACGCGACTGAACGAGTGCAAGACCCCACTACCACACGATCCCACGAACTCGCTTACGGAGTCGCTATTACCGGTGATATATCACCTCGCTCACATCCCTACGCCGCGACACACCTCACATAGACGCGACCATGCCACCAGTACGTCTCCCCCAGCCATACCCTCACCCACGCATCACTAACACCCCTCTCAGCGAAACAACCCCCTCCCAGCGGCCGTCCGCCTCTTCAACTGCACAATCTGCGATAAAGGCTACCCGCGGCAACTCGACTACGAAAACCACCTCCGTTCCTACGACCATAACCACCGCCAACGTCTCGCCGACATGAAGAAGCTCACTGCCTCCAACGATACCGAGAGCAACAAGCCGAAACAGGGTCTCGAGATGCGGAGTATAGATGTGGAGAATGCGAATAAGAAGCCGGGGGTTGGGAGTCGGTTTACTAAGATTGGGGGTGGTGGGAATGCTGCGGCGGGTGGCAGGTTCAAGAAAGTTGGGGTTGCGGTAGGTGGGAAGGATGGTGTGGAGGAGAAGGCTGAGGTGGTGGTGGTGAAGACGGAGGATATGCCTGAGAAGAGTATAGAAGTACCGGTTGCAGCTGCGATGCCCATCGCAGAGGCCGAGGTCAAAAAGGAAGAGGACACAGTCATGGCGGATGAGGAAAAGGCAAACGAGATTACATGGGAGGAGTACGACTTCACAAAGCCGACTGGGTGCGATCACGCGAGTTGTCTTGGATGCAAGACAGACGGCATCTGGAGCGGTGGTTGGGTGGCTGTGGATGCTGTTTGAAAGACAGGCGTTTATCGTTCTTATGTTGACATTGACACTGTCACCGTACTCATACCCAGGATACAGCCATAGTCGGGACTTTTTTTACATTGTATAGCATCGGCGTTCAGGGAGCCATTACCCAGTCCACGCTCACGTCATTTCAGATATCTGTAAGTGTGTTCCAATCACCCCACAATACCTTCCCCCAAGGCTTTTGTCATTCCCTTGATTCTTGCGTCTCAATGGCGTTCATTAGTGCCTAATCGCTGTTCTAACTGACCACAAGGGCAGGCTTTATTTACAACTGCTGCTTGTTATCTATTCAAAATTCGGGCAGTGTCATGCATACGATTCACCGGGGGCGAGGAAGATATGATGTTGTCCGGAGTGAGGTAACGTTGGAGGTAATCGGAAATGTACAAGGACGCGCTCACGCGCTCTGTGCGTGCGTTCTTAGTGCTAAAACCCAATCGAAACCCGGAAGACGGCAGCTATCAAGAAGTCAATTCGCGGTCGATACGCATGCCAATCTGGAGATTCTTAAGTGTGTTTCAATTAGCCTATGGCCATCATATTTGTGGTAGTTCTCAGTCGCCTAGCATCTCAAGCTCATTCCTCGACTGCTATGCTGCAATCTCACATTGCGAAGCGCCATAGCTGTCCCGTACGTTCCTCCATTGAAGTCGTCCACTACCTAATCACCATATCTGAGCATGACCGCTCTAATCGCTGCTTCGACTGCCTCACGACCTGCAGTGCTAAGCACCTAGCACCCAGTAACCTAGATCTGTCCAATCCCTGCCATATCGATGGGCCTGGGGCAAAGGCACAAAAACAATGACATGCTCGTCGTTGTGCTTTGCAAAGTAGGTACAGGGATCTTGAGCCTTGATGCATCTGTCGTCTGCGGCTTTCCTGGGCTCGCCACCTCGGCTCCACATCTTGTTTTCGTCCCAGGAGCCAGTAAGGATCAACCTTCGAATGCACTTGTCTTTTTCCGTGTGCCTCTCCGCGTTGAAGGTCAAGCATGCGTATCTGTTCGTCCTGAGCGTGTTGAACGACCACAGCCGGTCGAAGCGGCGCTTCAATTCGATTTGGACTTTGACAGGAAGGTCATCCAGATCTGCCAATGTGTCGGGTCCCAAACCGGTGTGAACTTGCAAGTACATTGGTAGGTCGCGTGGCTGTCGTATCTCTTTGTTCTCGGGCTGGTTCAGAGCCTCAGCTTCTGGCTCTCCGGTATCGCTCATAAGGTCGATCACTTCTCGCTCTCTCTCCATCATGATTTGTGTTCTACCATTTCCATCATCCAGCGGAGCTACGACAGCTCTTGCTCGCTTGGAAGGATCTGGAGTCGCGGCAGAATTGATACGCTTTGTGACCCTAGCACTCTGTTCGTGTGCGGGGACGACTTGATGTGGAGCTGCGATAGCATGAGCGCGTGGTGTGTTTAGGGGAGCTACAGGTGGTAACCTTAAGTTAGTAACCTTCTAGGAAGTCGCGATGTGGGACGTACCTGAAGCTGCGTCCTGCTTATGAAGGAGAAGTAAGAGGACATCTCTCACTACATTGACCGGTTGATGCTCCAACACATGGCCACGGCTCGTATGGTCCAGCTTTTGCAAGGCCTTCAGTAGGCCCTTGGTTCCGGCGTCGACGTTCATGTTGCCTTTATTGTCTGAAGACGGTTGAGCGCTCTTCGCGGCGGATCGCAATGTATGAGAGGGAAGGTAGAAGGGAGGTTTGTCGACGATAACGGAAAGTGTTTGTTGACGCGACCTCGGCGTGAGACTCCGGAGGAAGGAGCGGTGGACCAGCTGTCACCCCACCAATACCATCGTCACATCTTGCCTGTCAATCGCTAACGACAAGAAGTTCGGATATTAGAGGAGTTTGCGACCATTACATGTGAGTGAGAGTGTGCAACGATGACTACTCTCTCATCATCAACACGGCCGTAGAACATACTCAGCTCAGTCCCAGTCCCGAAATATCGACCGAAAGTGGTAAACCCAACAATAGCTCGCTCATCACCTTTCCACTTCCAAGCGATATTGTCACACCGTCATCGACGTGGGCCGTATTAAGGAACAGACCCCCAGGGCCGTACCGATCACCCTGATCACCGTCCTTTTGCGTCGAAAGACGCGGCGTATCCTGGGAGCTATCATCCATACCCAGCAACTCCCAGTCCACCTTCGTGACAATTGGATGTCTGAACATCGCAAGCGGCCTGTAGCACCTTCCTTCCGCAAAGATCTTCAACTCTTCATCCTCTGGCACCCTCAGATACCCCTTCACAATCACTTTCATTTTCTCAATCTTACCCGGCTGCGCATGCACATCCTCTGCAAGCTCTGGAAGTCCTTCCGCTGTAGCACCCCACCCACCTACATACAACTCACCGCCTGGAAAACTAGTGATGTCGAGACCCTGTCTACCCGGAACTTCGCTTTGGACAAAGACTTGCTGACTTCCCTTCTCGTCGTCCTCTGGCTTCCATCCAGGTTCACGGACACGGAAGTGGTTTCCGGCTGACGCTGTGGAGTTCATTGGGAGTTGGAAAGATGCGTGAGGGAAGAGTGTTGAGAAGACGTGTGGGGACCAAGGGCCAACTGCTATGACCAGGCTTCTGCATGGTATGTTGAGCGAGTCACCATCTTGTTGCTCGATCTGGATACTTTTGAAATGTCTCGCTCCTGGTGCTGCCTGAACTGATGTTGCATTCGCGTTGAACACGAACTCAACGCCCAGTTTCTTGCATTTGTAGGAGAGAAACTGGCAGAACTGAGCGGGGTCACTTATCTGTTAGTCAAAATCATCTTTATAGAGAAGCGAACATACAGATGCGATGCATGAGGTGGCCCAGCCATGCGCTGCACTGACCAGTCGCTCTTGGTTTTGATCCAGTCAGGGAGCGCAGATAGAAGTTGTTCAACAGGAGGACTTGGGCCCCAACTGTCGGGTGGCTTAGGCATACCCTTGAAGTTGTCGGGTATGGTGCGATAGATCGTAGACTCGCTAAAGCCAAACTCCTTCATTCCCTTCGTGACAGCAAGTTCCTGAAACAATTTATAGGACAGAATGCCCAAATCAGCGACATCGCTCGAGAAGCCAAAGTCTCCAAGTCCGCCTGTCGCTTGACCAGAAGCAGCAGGACTGATGTGCGCAGCTCGTTCGACGACGATGATCTTTCCAGGTCGCCTGGATGTCGCGTTGGCAGCCTTTTGATGGGCAAGAGCCAGCTGATAGGCTGTCGCTAGGCCAATGACACCTGCTCCCAGGATGACAGTAGCATCGCCCTTCAATACATCTCTTTGAGGAGCTAGAGGTTGCTGAACGTTGGACCAGGTTGTGTTCATAGTTGAAGAGGCCAGGGTGCGGGGCCGCCACAGTGCAAGGAGGAGGAAGGAACTTCTGAGATGCATGATGATATGCATTGCTTCACCGAGTCGAGGTCAGGGTATCGCATTGAAGGTTCCGAAATCTTGCGATCGTCGATGCTAATTATAGTTCTTGTATTGCGGGGAAGTTTGCAATGGCGGTTGCCGTACGCTCTTAGGTCTGAGCTCAAGCGGCACGTTCACCGTCTGGTGTATGCTCAGTGCCCAGGTGGTCAGGAAAGCGTTTGTGTAATTCACAAGATTCGGGTCTTCGTTACCGTTGATGACATGTAGGTATCCCCGCTCTTCGTAATCCATGTCGTATACTATTATACAAAGTCCATCTCAACTTCGTCGACTCGGCTCCATGACCCTTCTCATCTTCATCACGGATGCACCCAGCGTGCACGAGATATCTAGCCCACGCTCATGCCCATCTACTTCCACTCCCAACACTCCTCAACCTTCCACTCAAAGTCCTGGAACTTGACAACCGCGCCCACACTCAAGATCTCAGGCCTGAAGGTGACACCACAAGGCAAGAAGCCATCACCCACCCTCACAGTCCTGTTCCACTTCTCAATCTCTGACTTTCCGCCATTCACACCAACCTTCTCCTTCCCAGTCTTTCCCTCGCCATTCTCCCACTCCCACCTCTCAACAGTAACCTTATCACCCCACATGAGAATACCCTGGCAGTACTGTCCCAACCTCACGACCACGCCCCTAACCCCCGCGTGATCAGCTTGGCACCGCATAACCACACATACCATACTGCCCTTCTCATTCGTAGATACGGCGTCGACATCCCTCCACATCTCCTCGTGAGTCTTGACCGCACCAAGCGCCGGGTGGTATCCATGTCCATGCTCCAGCGTCAATCCGGGAGCAATGGGATACATGTCACCCTCATCGACAGGGATGTTCTTGTGGCCAACGGGGAAGCGTGAGTCCAGCCAGTGAGTCCAAGTAGAGTGTGTGACATTGACCCAAGTTTCTTCCTTGAGCTTCTTGGCAGATTTCCCGTGCTGTGGGCCGGTGGGAGGAGGTGTGATGGGTACGCTGGTGGAAGTGCCGGTGAAGGCCCAGTCTAGGTGAGCGGAGTTGCCTACGTTGGTGCTCTCCTTGAGGGGCGCGGGACCAGCGCTGTTAGAATTGATGGCGTCCTTGAAGAACGACTTGTAGATACGAACATCGACGAAGGTGTGGTTAGGGCTTGTCAGTACCAAAGTAGATGTAGGCTCGAACTGGTGAGACGGTAGGTTCAGCGGGTTCTTCTGCGGGAGGTGGATGGAGTAAGGGATCTCGGTGTTTGGCGGCAGAGGGTAAGGGAGGAAGTAGATATACTCGCGCTTGCTAATGTTGGCGGCACTGGGGTCTTGGAGGACGGGCTTGGGACCGTGAGTTGTAGTGATGGTGAAGGAACCACCGCCATCGTCTGGCTGTGCGGGAGCTTGGAGAGAAGGTGAGACGCCCTTGTTGATTGCTGAGGATGCCATGGCGTCGGTTTCGGTGCCGGAGTCTGGGGGTGTGTAGATGATGGGGCTGATGTTGGTGCTTGATTGATCGCTGAGATCACACGGTTCTTCCTTTGCTTGTGCCGCGGCGGGGTGATTCTTGGCCTTGATCACCATTTTGGATTTGAGTCTGATTTCTTTTCGAGGGGGAAAGGTCAGAGAGACTAACAGTTACCGTGATGCTGAGATAGGCGTGAAAGCGAAAAGGACGTTGAGATCTGGACAATGATTCAGCATTTCAGGGCTTTGCATCAATATCTCTCAGATTTCAACGATCTGAGGAGGATACAACGGCTTTCCACGGTGTACGTGGATGCCAATACAACACTAAGATGTATACGATGTGGGAGTTGAGCGCGCAGAAATTACCTTTGCGGGAGCGCGCCTCCTACAAGCTTACTGGGAACTGCTGGGGGGACTTATCAAGTGAGTACTTGAAGACTTCGTAGCTTGTGCCTTGCACGTTTTGCGCGGTGTTGTGGTGTTGTGACAGATACGGCGTGAGGTGGGGGAGCTCATAGCAACAAGAGCCGCGCTAGCGACGTCCGTTTGCACAAGGTGATCATCAATACTAGAATTCGAGGTGAATGGGAATTTCATACTGCTCGGTCAAATGACACATCACGACTGATCCTATCGTACCCTGCGGCAAAGAGTGGATATTGCTGGAAGAGACTGTATAAGAAATGACGAAGAGATGAATGGGAGGCACGGCTTGCATTTGCAAAACTAGGTATCATTCACATGCTGTCATTTATTTGACAGACCTAACCATGACGCCGCCCATGCTGGGAAAGCCCACGCTGGGAATACCCATTGCCGAATCGTAATCCTGACTTTTGTATTGTCGTAAGCCATAGCAAAGAACCAAGCAGCTACTTCAGTGAATAGCTTATTTCTTCTTGGAGTCGGCCTCCTCGGCCTTAGCCTTCGCGCGCTTCTCACGGACACCGACAAGGCGGGCCTCGGAGCGGGCATCACGGAGCTTGCGGTAGGCGTTCTCAGTGGCCTCGTAGTTGCCGATGGGGCCCTCCTCGAATTGGACGACGTTCTTGATGGGCAGAGCAACGGCGGTGGACTGGACGAGGTTGTCGGCGCTCTTGGCGGCCTTGACGTCCTCGGCGGAAGCGTCACCAGACTTGGTCTTGCCGTTGCGGCGGGGGAAGAGGATAAGGCGCTTGCGGTACTCCTGGAGGCGCTCGACGTTGGCCTTGAGGCCCTCCTCGGAGAGGTTCTGGCGGCGGGGGTCGACAGAGATACCGATGGTGCGGGCGAACTTGCGGGGGATACCGGCGGCTGCCACATGTTAGGAGCGCTTTGCGCAATTGGGTAGAGCAACATACCCTTCAGCTCAACAAGAGAGAAACCACGGCCGGGGCGGACACGGCGGTTGTACTTGATGGTAGGGCATCGGACGACGGGCCTGAGCTTGTCGACGGGCCTGGGGGCTACCTTCGCAGCCTTGGCAACGCGAGCATTGCGTCTGGACTTCTTCTTGCCAGGCTATCGTACTGTCAGAAATCTGAACACAGGCGCCACTACTCTCAGCGACGTGAGAGGGGAATTACCTGGTCGAAGTGGCAGCGGACGTAGCGTTGCCTGGAGAATATTAGCCCAATGTTATCAACGTGCCCAGTGTCCCAATCGCGAACTCACCAGTCCTTGTGGAAATGGTTCTTCTGAATCTGCTGGTTGTGCTTGATCGCCATTGTGTCGGATTGTCTGCCCTAATCAGCCTTCGTCCTTCGCTCGTGGAGTTGTGTGGAAGTGCGCAGTGTCGACGGCGAGTTCGTTTTGATTGCGCTCGTTCGATTGCGCACTCCGAAGATTGTAGACGTACCTCGATGGCTGACCTGTGGGTTAGTTATCGTACGGCTGTCGAGGAAGAAATCTCGAAGTTCGCTCGCCAATTTCGACAGCCTTCCTAGCGCTAGTGGGCCAACCGAGTTTTCGGCGACACGTTTTGCCGACGCCGACACTAGCGTGATGGGTCGGCTTGCGCTGCAACACCAACTACGACCCGCTTCTGGAACAAAGCTTTCTGTCGCGAAAGTTACCGTGGTGTCCTCGTCAATTTAGTCTGGTTTCCTTGAGAATTCTCCTCATTCGTGTCGCTGTACTGGGTACTTCAATCGCTCAACGATGATATGAAACTTGATCACACCTTAATACTGTTGACTGGGAACCGCTCTTTTCTTAAAGTATCGCTACATCCATTCGAAATAAACTGAACACAATAATCTAAACACCCCTATAGTACTCTCCTGTAGTGAGCACATAATGTACACGAAGACATTACAAAACGCTAAAATGTATCCAGAGAAGTGAAACCGCACAAGTGCACTCTAGACCCAACCCGGTACAACAAGAACCTTCAAACCACCACCCTAATTAGAAGAATCAAGGATCAAAATCCACCATCATCCGCATCGAAGAACTCGGTGTTGGAGCTCTGTGCACTCGTCCAACTCTCCCTGGGAATCTTGTCTCTGAGCCAGGTAAGAACAGCGTCAGTGCCCTTCTGCAGCACCTGTCGATTAGGTACCCTGAACTTGTTTCCTTCCACTTCAAAGCCTGTCAGGGTGCCTTGCAGCAATCCAATTCGTGGTTCCAGACGCTCAATGTCGTTGTTGCCCAGGTTTACAATCCTAAGGTTGTGCAAGCTTTCAGGCGAGACCTCGGAGATCCTGTTGTCGGATGCGAGGAGGGTGGTAAGCGCGGGGAAGGCTACATGGAGCGTTGGAAGGGCACCGGCGAGACGGTTGATCGATACGTCCAGCGTCACGAGGAGAGGCGCCGTGAGGTATGTTGTCAGATGCGTGAGAGAGTTGATCTTGTTACTGGCGAGACGGAGATCGCGTAGCTGAGGAAGTTCGATGGGCGCTGACAGAGGTACTTCAATGCTGTTCCTAGACAGATCGAGTAATGTCAAGTGTTCGAATTGCGCCGCTATAGACGGTATGATCTCGAACTTGTTGCGCTGCAGATGCAATTGACGCAGTCCGTTGACCATGACCTCCATGGTGACTTCATCCAACTCTAGTTCAGACATGCTCTTGTCCGCGAGGTCTAGTGTGCCCGAGGGTGTAAGTTGCCACTTCGGCTGAGCCTCTTCTGTGACACCATTCTCGAATTCGTCATCCACGTCGGCTGAGACCTCCGCTGGTAGTCGCGATGCCAGATCGCGCTTGATATCATCGGTGCCCATGGTAAGAAATTTACGATCGCGCAACGGGTTAGCTGCTACTGTAAGATGTTCTAGATGTTCCATCAAGGCAATCTTCTCATCAAGCTGAGTGATATCGTTGCCCGTGAAGTCTGCAGTACGTAGTTGTTGAAGCATCACGAAACCCTCTGGTAAGGTTGAGAGTTTATTCTCGCCGACTAGCAGCGTCGTCATACTGATCCAGGTCGATACTTCAGGGAACGACGTAAGTCTGTTTGCGGAGACATTGAGTGTCT